AAAAAAAAAAGTACAGAGTGGTTGGTACCTATCGCCCAGAATCTACAATCTATGAATGTTCCTTAGAAGCCAAGATGGCCAGACTTGTGTCTCATAATTCTGGCATGTTATCAGGAGGGGCCAGTCCCTGGAGAAGGACATAATGCCTGGTAAAGTGGAGGGTCAGCAGAAAACAGGACAGCCCCCAATGAGAAGGATCAGCACAGTGGCAGCAACGTAACAAGGATTGGGAGGATGGAGCAGGGCTGGGGAATGTTTCATTCTGTTTGCACAGAGTCACTATGGGTCAGAATCCAGTCCGTGGCACCTAGCAACAACCAGGTGGCTGTCACGAGTATATGCAAAGATGAGACGAACCGTAAGTTTAAGAGGTGACTGTTCTCCCCTTCCCAAACACAAATCTCACTCTTACAAAGCTTAACAGACTTCCCTAGGGCTTTCTGAGAGATGCTGATTTACCATCTCTGAAAGGAATTTTGAAATTATCTGCTCCCAACTTGCTGAGTAGTCCCAGCAAAGTATAAGATGGTCCACCTGGATGAGTGCTAAAAGCCCCAAGAAAGGGAAAAAGGCAACAAGAACTGCCTTTGATCCCCAAGGAAAAGAATGTGTTCCAGCTGAAAAGCCACCCAAGGCAAAGATGCTGCTGCCATCGTACGCACTAAGACAGAGTAACTGGTATCTAGGATGCGCCGTGAGGAAGTCTTCACTGGGTCTGTTTTTGTCTGGATTCTGATGTCCGCCAGCCTTTTTCCACTCATTTCCAAAAGCTTTCCGGTAATCAAGCTCGGCTCCGCGCCTCTCCTCCGGAAGGATCTATGTTGAGGGGAAACAAACACACGTTTACTGAAGTACTTTCCTAACAAGTTGTTTGTAAGCCCTACACTCACCCAGTCCTTCCATTGCCCACCTAAAAGAATACTCACGCTGAGGGGGACAAGGTGACATTGAATTGTACTTGACACCAGATTTCTTTTGAAAGAATTCAGTTTATTCAAAAAAATGAAAATTTCCATTTTATACTTTTCATCATGAGACAATTTACCTATAAGTCAAAGTTTCTAAGCTACGCAGGTACCTGTCCCGTATGGGCTGATCTGTAACAAGGGACAAGCGCACCAAGCAGTTTCACGGGGAGGAGTGAGTGAGGGCTAGAAGACAGATAAGCTGGGTGGTTTTGTCTTATTTCTGCTATATTCTCCCCAGGAAATGCCAGAGTGTCTAGTATCCCAGGACCCTCATCTAATGATAACACATCAGTCCAGAGAGCAACAGCTTTTCCCTGTGCTGAACTGAGAAGCATAGGACCACCTTCCTGAGGACCCTCATTACTAAGCAGCATCAATTGAAGGGAAGTCATGTTTGATGGCCTTCACAATATTCAAAAATCCTTTCTTCTTTTTCCACTTTGTGTTGGTCTCCCTAAGAGAGCCCGCCAGCTGGGTTCTAATCTCACCAACCTCTGCTTGCACCTACCTCACATTTGTTCAGTATCCTCAGCTGACCTATTTTGGCGATGATGAACTGACGGGTCGCCCCGACATCTCTGTTCCCATCGGTCAGGGGGTTCCTTACACAGGATAGAGAATGCAGCTTCGGAAGCTTGTCCAGCTCATTGATGAAAGACCACTGAGACCAAACGAAAGCAGGCGACTTCAGTTATCTGAGCTAGCAACAGAGGAAACGGCTGCGGCACTGAAGCTGATCATGTGCCAGGACTTCACGAGAAAGACCCCATACTTTATTCCCTGCCCGTGCCATTTAAAATGAGGGTTGTCGGCTTCAGTGTGGACCACTTCCTTAAGAAGCTGAGCTCTCAGGCAGCATTTCTCTTTCCATCTGAAATCTTAGTAACAGAAGGGAGAACCCATCAGCTCCATGAGGAGAGTGGGACTTCCCAGGGGCTCTTACTTGGGATATCTGGCTGTCATTCACGACCAGGTACTGCAAGGAAGGAAACATTGATGTTTTGCAGCCTAGAAAAAGAAGAAGAGAGTTACATGGTAGAAGTGAAAGAAACAGCTAATGTATGGGGGTACTTTACCAATCTTACATACCAATGCCAGCATCTGGAAAATGTATGGATGAAATGCCAGTGCCAGAGAGGAGTAACTGTTCTAATCTGAAATTAAGAAATGTAAGTTTGACTATATATTACACACATCAGTATAAAATGCAACGGGTTATCACCAACCAAGAGGGAAGGAGTCTTCACATCAAGGGTCAATCCTATTCCCTCTGTACACAGTGTTGATAGGGACAGGCAAGTTAGACACTGGCTATCTAAAATGACGGGAGGGAGGTGCTGTAAAGGCATGAAGAGTGGCTGGCTTACAAGTTCAAGAGGGAGTTTACAGAGCAAGGGGGTGCAAGGGAGGTAGAATCCCCACTGAATAATTTTCATCTTGTCTAGACAGCTCTGGTGAAAGGAGATGGGGATAATACAGTTATGATTCAACAGTGAGTAACTATTAACATGACTAATTGTGACTGTCACAACTTTAATGGTAGCACATATGTAACAAAAAGGGGGGAAGTAGTTAATCTTACAGCCCAGAAACAGAGGATCCTAGGACCATCAGGAGGGAAGAGCATAAGCAGAACAAGGGATCCTAATCAGAGAAGCAGCTACACCAGAGACGGAGAGAGAGCTGAGGACATGGAGAGTGAGAATAGCTGAGGACTCTAGACTCACGAGGAAAGAGAAAGGCTGTGTGCTGGCGGCCAGGAGGCTGGCTTGCAAAATATGCCCTTTGGTTGTTTAAATGATTATATATTCCTGTGTGTGTTTTTTTGTACATCAAAAAAAAAAAAAGAAGAAGAAGGAATAGAGGCAACTACTGTTAACCGAGGGTGCATGAAGGGGCTCATAATTGCAATGAAACAAAATAGGATGGGTTGAGTGCAAACCCAATGTTCTGCCATGTAAACTATCACTCAATTCCCAATAAAAGCTTAAAAAAAAAATGTAATGGGTTATGAAACAGACTAGTTTTTCAATTTTTTTTCCTATTCCTTAGGGTTTTCCAATCCTATAAAATGCTTAGAAACTATAATGTCCATTTTAGGACATTTGTGCTAAATCCTGATGATTCTGTAGACATCTCCCAGGTGCTACACAGCTCCAAGGAGAAGGAGCTACAGTTCTGTGCTCCTGAAGTTTAATGAGCAGAGAGCATGAGCTGGCTAACCATAATTGAGAGGGTGGTGTGATAAATAACAGAGCATGAACACCACACAATAGCAGCTATAGGAGTGCAGAGAAGGTATCAACACCATGAATGGGGCCTGTAAAGCGAAGCCTTGAAGAACAAAGGTGAGCTTTGTCAAAGAGAAATGAGAGAACATTCTAGAAAAGATAATGATGTGAGCAAAGACGGGAGGGCAGAAGAACCCGTAACTACAACTGGTAACAGGAAGAAGTCCTTTTGGTGGGAGCAAAGGGAACATTAAAGACAAGCTTTACTTCCTCAGCAATGAGGAGACATGCAGTGAGCAGAAAAGGAACGTAACAGCTGTGCTTCGAGTGGTAGCGGAGAAGAAAGCCGTGACAAAGGACACAGAAATTCCCACAATATTTTAGTTAGAGGACCAAGTATTTCACAGGATGGATCCAAAGGATTCAGATGCTGTACAGTGTACAGGCAATAGGGAGGAGGGAGGCACTGAGCGAGTCAAAGTTGACAGACATTGTTGGCGTTAGTAATCAAAACAGAGAAGTCGACCAAATCTGGTCCAGCTATTGTTACTAAATGTCAATCGAGTCGGTTATGACTCACTGCAACCCTGTATAGGATTTCCAATGAGCAGTTGGTGAGTTTGAACTGTTGACCTTGAGCTTCAAAATAACCTTGCAGTCCAGTGCTTACCCTACAGTGCCACACCAGGACTCCAGCTATATAGTTAAGGGAAAAGGTACATAGTTTTGGTTTTCATGGATTAAAATGCCAAGTAGAGCAATGATATTAAACCACTGAATTGTTGTTGTTAAGTGC